AAACGGCGATGCGTTCGATATCGTCTTCTTGTCTCTATCCCCGCGAGTATTAGTGCCGCGTTGCTGCTACTGCCACTGCTGCTGCTGTTACCAAACGGCCCGTCAACTGCGCTTTCCGCCCCTCCACTTTGCCGCGGATGACGCTAGAAGCGTCGAGTTTCGCGCAATCGGCGACATCGCTTTAACCGAGACGGCTATCGCGCTCTAGTTTGTCCCCTACCACTCACCGCCTCCTTGTCTTACGTTACGACCGATATTGCGTTGGCCGATTTTGTTTCCACAGATTCATCACGAGGGAGCCCATTATTTCTAATCCCAGCGGTGCTTTTAATAATTATGCAAGCTGTCCAGCGAGCTTTTGAATTAATTGTTTGCGCTGGCGGTGCGCGGGGTGCGCGGGGAGGGGGGGGGGAGGGGGGTGTGGTGGTGAGAAAGTTTGGTGCGTGACTAATTCACGAATGTAACAACGTTGCTAAGAACTTTGCCATTTTTTGTGAAAGGCCCTTTGGCCGTTGTATTATATTGGCATGTTGAGGGTGAAAGGCGTGGAAGAAAGTTGCTGGTCGTAATTTGAAATAAGTTATTTTTCACGTTAACTTTGTTTACCCGAGCGTGAACGTAAAATACATATTTATGGGAGTACACAAAAGTATTTGAATACGCTCGCGGACTCGTTAAACTTTGTCTTGGCGTAATCATAAATTCAATCGGCAATTTAGCCGCGGAAATTTTGCCGAATTTTTCAAGTCGAGTCAACTTGTAGCCAGAGCGCGGATGTTGAACTTGAGGATAAAAATAAATGGACGAAGGAAGGTATTGGATAAAGGTCAATGAGTATTTTTGTATCTTAGTTGTCAAACGTCGTTGACTAATAGTTAACCAATGGCTAACCTAGATATATAAAAAAAAAAATATAATTCGAAAAAGACATTTGGTCACGCATTCTAAACTTCCTTCTTCTTCTTCTTCTTCTTCTTCTTCTTCTCTTCTACGTTATGTTATTTTTATTTTTAATATTTATTTTACACGTAATTGCGTCACAAATACCATACCTCTCGGAAACCCGGATCTTTAGATAGGATTGTATTATTTTTCCTTGAGGAACTAGCAATTGTCAGATAGGGACTGGAAAGCCCGCTTGACAAGTACGAAGGTCCTCAAAATCCCTTTTTCAATCACATTTCATACTTTGCGAATCTATTGAACGTGAAAATCAAATGTCAGGATTTCCCGCCCCGATATATAGCGCACTAACTCTGACGCTAATCCAGATTATCCTTCTTTTTATCTTGGGAGCCACCGCCGCTTGTAGGCTCCTATTGCCGTCGTCATCGGCAGTGCCGCGGCCGTCGACATCATAGGGCGTATTGATGACGAGCCGACATGCGATTCCAATGATCCTTGCGCAAAGCCATACATCGTCAAGAAATATCATACACTTATCCTCGACTTGGGTCATTAAATGTCAATGGAGTCGAGAGAGCGCGAGACAGGGCGAGAGAGCACGGGAGAACACGGGAGAGCACGGGAGAGCACGGGAGAGCACGGGAGAGCACGGGAGAGCCCCAGCCGATCAACCGACCTTCTCCTCCTAATACGTTTACTAGTATTAATCAAGGTAATGGTCTCCCTAATAAACTCTAATTGACACGGGCTGGATAGCTCCGGGACGGGTTGCGGAGGCACGGAGAAAGGGTCTGGCACGGGAAAAGGACATTATACACGTTCCGCCGCGCAGCCAATGATCTTTGGGTCGCTCGTAGCCCGCGGTCCAGGATTTATTATCCCGCGCGCTCGCTCCTTTTTCTGCTGGGCAGCCGCAAAAACGCTCGAGAAGCGGAAAAGCTTGGAGGAGAGCTGGGAACGAGCTTCTCCCACTTTCCCTCGGGCTTTCCCTCGTTTCCGCTCTCCGTCGGCCCTCACCTCTTCGCGCGCTCACCGACCCTCGTTTCCTCTTTTATGTCCTCCCGTACTCGAGCGACGACTATCTCCAGTCTATCAGGCTTTTTCCCTCCAGAGCGGAGGGGACGTGGGACCAAGAGCCTAATTACCCTTGGCGTCGATCATCAACTTGCCAATGAAAATTCGCAATGCAAAGAGCGAGAAGCCAGAGAGTCACACGTAGAGTGCCACGCGGCGACCCGTGCAGTATGGTTATAGTAGGGAGTTATGGGAAGAGTGAACGTTTGGCGGGGCGAGGGGGGATTGGTGGGGGGGGGGCGTAGCAGTGAGTAACGGCGGCGAAGAGAGAAGAGTAGCTCGATCAGTCTTGGAACATCAGTCATAGACGCGTGTCCTCGTTGTTCTGGGAAATTTAATTTTAGAAATCTCCGAAAAAGCTCCACCTTAGTGCAACTATGCATATTCTCGTTGCGGGCAATGAAGCTTCAATGCAATTTTCATAAAAATTTTAACGGAAACGCGGATGTTTATCGATTTGGTATGACTGTTAGCAAGTCGGTAAGTACACGGCTAAACATGGCTATTAAATATGAAATAACTTTGCCACGACCGTGTGACCAGGGAAATGGCTATAATTATTATAATCAATGAACTAGAGTCGCAACATTGTATATTACGAAGGATCGACTTGATTAATCGGGCCGCGCGTAATGTGTCACCGCCGAGTCTCACTGCGATCCCTATTGGGCCCAGAAACGATTTTCCCGCGCTCGTTTTGGGTATGAGTTAGCCATAGTGTTTACGGGATGTTTTGGATTCGTGCTCATTGCGTACTAATAAGCCACGAAACCAAGCCAACGTCGTCACGCCCTTTTCAAGGACCTGCCGCTGGCCTCGGCATTTTATTATCCCTTAGGAAACACGGAGACGCGTACGCTTTCGCAGTGCTCAGTGCTATATTTCATGCCGAGGTACTACAGGCTACTTCGATACCCCATGAATCAAAAAGTCCGAATTAAGGCCAACGTAGGAATTATTTAGAAGGGTCTCGTCGACGTCCTTCGCAAAGCTCCGATAAAAAATGAGCTTTGCGATAAGGAAGAAATCGACCCGAGAGTAATACGGCCAAGTCTGAGCCATTCGTCAAATAACTTCTTCTCCTGAAATCAGCTCTCAATTTTCTTTTCTATCGTCTTTGACTCTGACATTAAATAGAACTTGTAAATATACGAGAATAAAAATGAAATTTTTCTTTGGTAATAATAAAATTGGCTTTGAGTAGTCGAGGCCATGGTGGCTCATTTTGAAAATACTTATTAACTATTAGATTCAAAATTTCAACTTATGATGCCGTGTTGATTTACGACGCAGTGGCAAATTAATTTGCGCCCAGCGATAAAAAAAAATACAAATTCCCGTCTGCCTCGTGTATCGTCGTTTCACCAACACATTGACACGGTGTGTTATCCAACGTAATGGACAATTTTGTTTGTTTATATTAATGTTCGGTAGCTGTTTTACTAGCATTTATACTTTTATACTTTTACTCTCTCTCTCTCTCTCTCTCTCTCTCTCTCTCTTACACACACACACACACACGCGCGCGCGCGCGCGCGCGTGCATTATCTTTTTTCTATATATACGCACTGGTTGACATGTAAATAACAAAGGAACAAGCGCGAGTTAACTTTTCCAAACAAATCTTCATATTACGACTTACGTAAACATGCCAATTGTTTTATTGTGTTGGCTGGCAAGTTATGCTAAGAATCGGGGAAATTACCCAAAGCATTATTTATGTTTGGATAGACGGCAGAGTAACTTATTTCAAAAAAATACTATTGCATTTATTTCGGCCCCATGTGTCCCGAGGGACACGAAACGTCTTAGACTTTTCTGCCTTCTAATGATTTCACTGCCTGAAATTTCAATAATTCATAGGACGCCGAATTCTTCGCATGTTAATTAAAAAATTCGAGGGTCGACTCTAATTCGATATATCCTGATTGCGAAAAACAATGTTAAATTTTTTATACGAACAGCCAGAAGGAGAGCAATAATCGCAATGACAATCGCAACAAGTGCGCGTATTGCATCGGGAGGCGAATTTTCCCCGACCACGTTTGCATTATTGCACAATTGCGACGATAATCGTCGACGACACGTTAAAACAAAATGAAAAAATCATCGTCGAGAGAGACCAGTGACAAGTACTTTACCAGCAAGGATGATTTGCAGTTCGCAATGACTTATATGTGTGGTAGCGACGTGTAGAGCAGACCTTGCGCGTGTAACAATGCCAATGCCAAGTTGCGCGGGCGTGCGCACGCGCGCGCGCCAAGCTGATTTTTAAAACTCAAGCTCAACCATTAACGATCCCTTCCGCATTCTCCAAATACCCACACTAAAATACCCCGATGCAACGATACCATCCCATTCCATTACATTCCATTCTATCCTATCCAATCCCATTCCAATTCAATCCCATTCGATCCCATCCAATCCCATTCGATCCCATTCGATCCCGTTCGATCCCGTTCGATTCCATTCGATCCCGTTCGATCCCATTCGATCCCATCAAATCCCATCCATACGCCCATCGGTTCAATGACACGCGCCGCGAAAGCCGGGAATGCAAGCCGCGCTCGGGCGAGCAATCAAAGCCTCGTCGAGCACGTAACGAGTCGCACGCGCATATTGTCTCGTAATTTGAAAAATTACCGTACATTACGTGGCGATATTCGAGGAGGATCCCCTTCCAGGCTCGGCGGCCCCGCTTCTTCAAGACATCGGTATCACCGTGGCATCGTTAAGACACCGGTGTCCTCGGGTGTGCCCCCTTCGGGTCGTTAATGCGCAAAATACTCGGAGTTTCGCGCACGCCGATCACCTTCGCTCCACAGTCGCTCTCCTCGCTTTCGCCCCGATTCACCTGCCTAGAGGCGCTCGCCGTGGGGATTATCAAGCTCGGCCGCTCAGCTTATGCTCGTCTTCGTCAGTTCCGCGCTCGTGGGCTCTTCTTCCTCGGCTTCCTCCGCTCCCTCGGCTTCCTCGGCTTCCTCGGAGACTCGATCGAGATCGCAACCGCAAGCAAGAAGATGCAGCGCTTCCTGAAGTACGGCATCGCTGGCCTCTGTCTCTTCGTGTTTGGGATTATGTTCGGATGGCTGATTTTCCCCAAGGTGCTCAAGTCGAAAATTCACTCGGTAAGCGCCTTTTGCGATATCGTGAGAATCGAGCCGAGTCTTTATGGCTTGTCACGGCCGCCCTCGAAAGCTCAAATATTCAAATGGCACGCGCCCGCCCGCTTATTATCTTCCTTTTATTCCCTTCTCCCGACAATTTTTGTTTCTTCATTCGTTTCCTTTTTCTCCTTTTTCTCTCATTGTTTTTTGTTTTTTTTTTTGTTTGTTTTTTTGTTTTTTGTTTTGTTTATTGTTTTTTTTTCTTTATTGTTTATTGTTTATTGTTTACTCTTTTGTTCTTTAATCGTCGTCGTGCTTAGGTGCGAAATACCGATGGATAATAATAGTTGTCAAAACAAAAGACATCCTCTTGGTACCCTGGCCTTTATGTCGCGTCACCTTGTTTCGTAAATTCTATCATTGTATTTACGTCCTTTCCCAAGTCTTTGCGATTACGTGTTGGCTAATTCTTGAGATTCACGGGAGGTCTTTCGATGAAATATGACAGCGATGCTTTACGTTACGCCGTATGAATTTTAATGCGCAAATATATAATTCTTTTGCCCTCCGTCGCCTCGATAGCTCGACCGTCAAATTCGACGGCTCCTCCTTCCCAATTCTACGTTACATTACTTGCCGTTTTACCTAAGCACGATCTTTCTCGCGATAATAAGTGAAAAATTTTCTTACGCCCTTGTAACGCGATAAAACGAAAAGGGAAAAAAAGGCATCCAACAACCAATTAAGCTTGTTTAATTAATTCTTGTCCCCTGAAATTTCATCTCCACAAAGAGCCTAATCGTCTATTCTCAATATTCTCGATTCTCAATTGCAAAATAATAATGATAATAATGATAATTATAGTAACAATAGTAGGAGTGAGAATAGCGGCAGCAGTGATAGGAGTAATAATAATACGAGGTATTAGCGACGATAATGAAAATTATAATGGCAACAATGATAATTGAATTAAAAGAAAAAAGCTCGACATTTAGTAGAAAATTTAGTAGCCACGAGAGTTATAAATTATACTTATCTCGGCACGTTGTACATTAAATGCCTAATTAATTATATCGGTAAAATTGTCCGACTTGGTAAATAAATATGTGTTCTTTTACCATTTATTTCTCGTCCATCACTCTGTCCCGTTCTTTTATTTCTTTTTATCGAAAAGACACGATAAAAATTATTGTTACCCGGTAGTGTGAGCACTTGGTCATTACGACGCGATAAAACCTTCCATTGTATTTTTCAGCTAATTAACTTCGTGAAGCAAAAAAAGCTTGATAATACTCGCACGTCCGTCCATCCCATCGAGATGAATGCACCACACGGGCAGTGATTTATAAAATGTAGGAAAAAGTCTTGCGAGTCCCATTAAATATTGAACACTGATTTAGTATTTAGGGAAGTCGATTTGATGTGTCTTAAAGATCTTCTCAAAGCTTTGCTGATTTATCCAATGTCAAGTAGCGCGATAATAAGCAGACTTATAATAAATATACGACAAATAACTAATAAATTATGAAATAGTCAATTTGTGAAAGTGTAACTTCACGCTCGGTATAAAATGTAACATTACACTTTCATTTGTAGTTGTTATCGATCGCGTGTACAGGATCGATTATTATTCTTTCAGCGAGGGCGAAGGTGTCAAAGCGTAAGACGAGCACGCGTCTAATGAAGTCTATAGAACTAATTTGCTATGCAATTTGCCTTCAATGCTATTCTTACCTTTACCGGAAACTCTTGAAATTTTTGTTATAAACTTGTTTGGTTAGCCATGAATTGGAGGGACAATGAAATTAATTATAGATGGTGAATGGTAATATTGGATGAATTATTGATTTCACATAACAATCTGCCCAACTATTATTAAATATTCAAAATCTTATTATAGAATGAATTTATCACTCGAATTACCTTCAAACTTTATTTCTAACATTTACAACAACTTTTAACGCATCATTCGTATTCTTTTGTTTCCACTCTTTCATGCATACGCGCACGCACACGCGTACACTCGTCACTCCCCACCCCACCCCACCCCACCCCAAAACTCTACGACCATTTCGAGAACGTATGAAAAGTGTTGATTCACGTAAAGAGTTTAATTAAAGTATAGAGCCAGCTGTAATTGCTGATTCGGATAATAAATTATTACCTTAACAGTTGCGATCCATTGCGATTTCAGAAATAAAGTAATAAAATAATATTTTCTATTTCAACGAAATGCTATTGATACGTGTCCGAGCCTGTGGAAGATATTGTAAAACAAATTTTAAGGTTTTCACGTAGTATATAACAAACTACATGTGTGCCCGCGCGCGCGCGCGCGCGCACATAATCCATACGCGTGCGCGCGTGTATCGTAAAATATTAACGTTATTTTATTTATTTACTTTATTTAGCAAGTAGCCTTAAAGCCAGGATCGGATATGCGAGGAATGTGGAGTAAATTACCATTTGCGCTCGAATTCCGAGTCTATTTGTTTAACGTTACGAATCCGGATGAAATAAAAGCAGGTCAGAAACCTATTCTCCGTGAAGTCGGGCCTTTCTTCTTTGAGTAAGCTCAAAGCACATTACTTTCCTAATAAATTCTCTATGTAAAACGTAATCTTAAAATAATCTCAAACTACAAGGGAGTGGCAGGAAAAAACTGAGCTAATCGATCGGGAGGAAGACGATTCGGTAGAGTTTAGTATAAAGAACAAATGGATATTTAAATCGGAAATGAGCGAAGGACTTACCGGAGACGAAGAGCTTATATTGCCACACATTTTCATATTGGCTATGGTCATGACAACGTACAGAGAAAAGCCCACGATGCTTCCTGTCATCAGTAAGTAAATGCTTGAAATATCGCTTGCCATGTCCTTCGTACGTAGCTAGTATCTTATACTAATAATAAATGAGTAAAAATTAACGTTACCTTTATTTAAAAGATAAAGCAATTAACAGTATATTTAAGAACCCGAGCAACATTTTCATAAAGATGAAGGCCATGGATCTGTTGTTTTATGGTTTGCCGATCGACTGTACTGTGCAGGATTTCGCTGCTACCGCTGTCTGCACAATGCTGAAAGATTCTACCGATCTTTTAAAGGACGGCGAAGATAAATATAAATTTTCACTTTTTGGAGCGGTTAGTCCACGAAAAGCATATATTTATGATAATGTTACATCATTTTTAAGCTCATGTCGCAAAAAAAATAATCTCTCGTGTTTATCGCTTTTGAATAAGCACGTATTGGCAGACCAGCTTATCCTTCCTCTTTCACGAATGTCCGCAATCGAGCGATAATTCACAATTATCTCTCGCCTTTATAATAATAATACGGCTAGTCAATGAGTGCCTCCTCGCCTATGATGCGCACAATTAAAAGCAAAAAAGTAAAAAAATTATTAAAAAAAATATATTATCGACAGGGATTATGATGAGTTGATTTGCCACCGTTAGTTCATCATCCTTAAACTTTTATATATTTCGTTTTCATTCGTTGTCCGATCGTTCCCACATCTCTTCTCCATCCATTATCCTACTCAATATTCAAATTCGCCGTATTCATAGGCACTTTAATAGAGGAGGATCGATTACTACTATTTGCGAATATTAATCGGCATTTACAAGATCATTTTCCTCACACTTTCTCCATTCAAATTCTTGCCAAGCATATTCCCATTAATCGCATTATCGCATATAATCGTTTAAAAACAATATGCCTTACCTTCGATAATCAAAAGACATAAAATTTGTGTTGAATAACAAAAAACAAAAAACAAAAAAAAAAAAAAAAAAAAAAAAAACAACGACAACAACGACAACAACAACAACGACGACAACGACCAAAACCAAAAAACAACAATGAAAAATTACTAGAAAAACGATACGTCGTCAAAGTCACGTTTGCGCGTGCTGCGGGGGACGAAAAACCTAATGGACGTTGGTGTGGTCGTTGAATTCAATGGAAAGCCAAACATATCCTTATGGGACGATGATTATTGCGATACTTTTAACGGAACGGATGGCACTATCTTTCATCCCTTTTTTTACGAGAGCGAGGATGTCGTTTCGTTCGCCCCGGATCTCTGCCGCAGCCTAAGCACAACGTTCAGCGAGAAAGTTCATAATTCAGGTAAGCATATCGTGGGAACGATATCCTCGCGAAACGAGGAATGGATGGAGGTTTGGTGGCAAACGATTGCTATGTCCCTAACAGGAATGATTCTGAATCGCTACACGGCTTTCCTCGGCGATCCAAACACGATTCCCTCGCAGAGGTGCTACTGCCAAGCCCCGGACAAGTGCCTGAAGAAAGGAGTTATGGATCTTTACAAGTGCGCCGGTATTCCTCTCGTAGCCTCGCATCCCCACTTTTATCTCGGTGATAAAGACTACTTAGACATGGTAGACGGCCTTAATCCATCAAAGGTGAGATTTCCGTCGGATTTCCGTTGGACCGCTTGCTTTAGAGAACTTGTGACAAACGACACTTTAACGCAGGAAGAGCACGGCATATTCTTGGACATGGAGCCATTCAGCGGCACTCCCCTCACCGCGAGGAAGCGCTTGCAATTTAACATAATGATTCACAAACTGGAAAAGTTCAAGATTATGAAACAGTTCCCCGATGCTTTATTGCCGCTATTTTGGGTCGAAGAAGGCGTAGCGTTGCCCCAGAACTTTGTGGCGCAAGTAAAAACCGGCATTCAGGTCGTTACCATCGTAACGTAAGTTTTTTCTAAGTACAGCGACAACCGACTTTGCCCGCACATTAACTCTATCTCATTTAAATGGCCGCTGTAGTTTTAACGACTTAATCATAATGTTGTTGATCCCTATGCAATACCGACGAATTATTAGCACAACTTTTTATAATTTTATTGCGAAAGTCTCGTTGGTGAGACTTGAAATGATCCTCCCCCACCTCCATCCCTTACCACTTACCTGTCCCATTTAACATTTAACACGCACGCACGCGCACACGCGCACACGCGCACACGCGCACACGCGCACACGCGCACACACACACACACACTAGCTATAATTTTTAACCTTCTATATCGTACACGATAGAACCTACTTACTTGTCTCACAGTGTCATGAAGAATAATTGCTCACGATTTTGCGCGTAATTTCACAGTTGGATCAAGTGGATAATGGTAGTTTGTGGATTCGGGCTGTGTGGTATTGCAGGATTTATGTACTACCGGATGATCCAGCAATCGAACAAGCTCGAGATTACCCAGGTGGCAAGTGCCAAGGCCAAGTCCAGCATTTCCGAGCAGACAATGGAGCCGATAGACGCGAGCAATTTGCAAGCAAGCAATGTCCTACCGCAAGTCAATTGAATTATAGGCGATTGGAAATTTAGATTGGAGTTTAAGATTAAGGATGACGATGTCGCGTCACACATTCAAACAGAGACGGACAGCCATTACAGAGAGATATATCTTTACATAATACTTAATATATCTCTATTGTTGATTATTCTATTTTAATGAATTTTATATCTACCATTGCTTTGTCATACTCACGTAACGATAATTATCTTTTACACTAGGTTTGCATGAACTTTATTCAAGGTGAAAGTGAAATATAAGATACAATAAGATAGTATTATGTCAAATGTTTTATAATATTTACATAAGAGAGTGGAATATCGAATGATGTTGTTGTGAACATTAAATTTTGTAGGATAATGGAATAAGTATTAGAGAGCGGCCAAATGACAATCATAATTTATCAAGCTTTATATAATTATTTATTTCTATTGCTTATTCTCGTAATTGATATTAATTATTAACACATAGAGCTTGCGATAGCATTTGCCCAAGGCAACATTAACCATATCATAAAACACTATACATTACCATAGTGGTATACACTATTATTGAATATTACGATTATATTTACGGAATGTTAATTATGTTTGGTATGAAACATTGATCGATCGAATTATTAAAATCATTCCATCCTTCCGCTTCTTCTTTCTTTCATTCTTTATTCATTTATTTATTTATTTGTTCTTAATCTTTTTGTTCGTATTTTTTTTTTCTCGCTATTTTTTTTCCCCCCTGTTTTGTATAAATACACTTAGCGATCAATTTTCAAGTATTACGAATAAATTGAATTTTCATTATTCTTTCGGTTATGTGTTGCGATAATTTTTAACTCACAAGAACAACAGACTCTTCGTTTATAGCACAATTTCACAATTTCAAGATCTCTAGCAAGCATCGCGTGAATTATAAAATATTTTCGTTAAAAAAATATTTATCCTTAAATATTAATAATACTTGTAATTGGAAATTTTTAATTCCTTAAATTCTCTATGTCTTTCTCTAAATTCCTAAATATGGAGATTGTAAATTATGTTTGAGCGAACGAAATTTATACGATTAAACATTGCTTGCTCGCTGAAAAATATTAAAATCCTCCTAATACTGAAAGTTTTGCGAATTTGCAGATTCTCATTTGAATTTCGAATAGCACGCTATGCGCATGTCGTCTATATTACTTAGTTATTTCGGTTAAAATGCCAAAACGACAAGTTCAACAAAAATTCACGTATTCTCCAATCTTATTATTATTCACGATGTAGTCTTTTTTTTCAAAGTCTCTTTCTTAAAATTATTATGGATTTAAAGGGAGAGAAAGTGGAGACAAATATAGCTCAATTATCATTAAGGCATAATGATTAACGTCAATACAAAAAGAATTCTATCTTAATCCGGACGTTTATTCATATGATTTTGTGTAATAAATTACAATTAAAAAAACATTTGGATTATTTATGTGAAACGTAAGTTCAAGAGCTCTCCCCTTCATGAAATTTCGTGTGCCACTATTGTGTTAAGATTTAGTCGAATATATCTCAATGGCACCCTCGAAGGTACTTGTACTAGTACTCTATCCAAAAGTCATGTTTTTTTTTTTTTTTTTTTTTTTTTTTTTTGGGGGGTTTTTTTTTTTTTTTTTTTTTAGAGTGGATTTCTTTGTAGAGCGCTAATAAAATTTACAAAACGACTAATAAACGACCAGGGAAGGAGTTTGGATTTTTCCCGTGAGTTAAAATAATGTTTATCAGAGGGCATTATCCAGCGATATTGGGCTTTTATCGATAATATAATTAAACATTTTAAGAATAATCGTGAATGTATTTTGACCAATCACCCGTTTGTTATTGTATAATTAAGTACACTAGGACGGTATCGTACACGGTTCGATTATTTATCAATTATATGTACTTTCCGTTCGCGTGGCAGAGTGCATTTAAACGTGGCGCGCCCGAAGCTTTGTTTATGAAATTTCGAAGCGTTGTATAATGCCAACGAGATAAAGAGCCATCGAGTCTTTATTGATTGAAACAACAATGGCATCCAAAGCACTGAAATTATCAGATAAAAAGTGGCAATAACGATTTTAATTCGAAAATCGCGTTTTTCCTTGCCGATTGAAAACAACATAATGCGCGCCATTATTTACCATTGCCGCGAGAACGGGAGATGGAGAGAGGGAGTGGGAGAGAAGAAAGATAGAAGGCGACATCGACCCTACATAACAAATTCCTCATCATCGTGGCAACGAATTATCCGGAGTATTATTAATCCTTATAACCAGCGAAGATTAAGCGAACCAGGCGAATTGGTCGAGCGAGCATTTGTTTAATCTCGCTAAGCAAATGTTGGTCCGATGGAGAGAGCGCGATTGATTCGAGAAGAAAGTAAGGAGGTGACCGTTACGAACGAGCATTCGCACTTAGGGAGGCGTGACGCGAGCTTAGAGCGAAGCATTAAAGAGAGAACTTAATTAGCATAATGTTGCATAATGTAATCAAAACAAAGGAAGTAAATACGATGGCTTAAAGTAAGTATATTAAGACCGGAGACTAAGCGTTCTCGTAAATACGTAAATAGCGTATGTTTGTGCTTGGGAAAGTTGTCGGGTCGGGAATAAACTTTTCGCACGCGATCCAGACGATTTTTCAAAATGTCCCCGCATTAAAGGTCGCGTAAGGTTGATTATATGGTCTCTTATCGGCGCTTGAGGCCATCGGGCCTTAATCCTTAATTAATGACCTGAGATAATTGAGTTTTGGTGGCATTGCGGCCGAGTGAACGGCGAGCAGTGAAAGAAGGCGACCCTTTAAGAAATTCAAGTAAAAGGTCGGCCAATGAAGAATCGCCGAGCGGTCTGATGTTCTCCAACATAATCTTCATTGCCACGAGGCGGCATCGTCGTATTTTCTTACTTTACATAGTTAGGTAACTTTGGGACTCTCGAGCATTGAAATCGAGCGTTTCGTTTAATTGGGGATCATTAGAGATGTCACGCGTCAAGTCGCTATTTATGCCCGCGATAATCCTACAAAAACTTCCTCCCGATTTATCCACTTTCGAAATTCCTTGCCATTGTCGAAAGAACATAATTAAATAATTAAATTGTTTAGTTATCGGGAGCCACTTTTATCTCGCTTTATCTTGGTAATATACTCGTTCGATAATTTGAGCCAACTGTTTACGAATTTTCAGCCACGAATCGAGTGGCGGAGGGCTCCGAATAAACGATAATACTTTCTAAAGATTAAATGTTAAAATTACGTATGGCTTGAACGAATAACTTAGTCGATTTATCGTTGCCCATTATAATTAATAAAATAAAATAAAAGCATTGGTGGAAGTCCGAGAAGCACAATGTGTTACGATCAAAGGCACTTTATTTATACAAAAAAATCTTCTCTAAATATCACTTCCGGTAGAGCACAGCAATGACATTTTAATCGATGTAACTACGATAACATATCGTTACCCTCCTCTTGCTATTTGAAAACGTTCGATATTGTATTTTATTATAAAGTGCACAGCCTATAAAAGCTTATGTTGGCTAAACACATTTTTTTGAAAAATACTGCAAAGATAAAATACTATATGCCAGTGCTGCTTACCGAAAGATATGAATATGACTAATATGATGTAATGATAAGTAGGAGGGGAAACGAGGTGGCAACAATTTATTGCAAATTTATGGTAAGAAGCGCTTAACCATAGTATTAAATTTTATTATTGTCACGTGTATTTTTTATATTATTCATTTCAAACACAAAAATTACGTATCCAAGCTTGCTTATGGTAATTTGATTAATCGAGAAAACATGTACGTATATACTCTTGCTTATTAGACACGTGCGATTACAATAATAATTAAAGCAAATACAACGATAGATATTTTTTTTTTGCAAAAAAGAAAAAAAATTTAAAGTTTTTTCAAACTCGATATGAATATACCTGTCGCTCGGAATTATAAGCAAGATTTCTTCCGTATATTGCGAATGTCTATTTAATTATTTGTTAATGGAAATTTTTTGTAGTCATTAAAAGATGCAATGATACACTAATAAAAATAATTTCTTCGAGAATTACGTGTCCACTAAATTGAATCATTTGTATTTATAGTTATAATGATAATTAAAATAAATGGAGAAAAAAATGAAGAAGAAAAAAAAAAACGCCCAACGTGGGGCTCGAACCCACGACCCTGAGATTAAGAGTCTCATGCTCTACCGACTGAGCTAGCCGGGCTTAGTCCATCTAAGTTTCAATACACTCTCATACACACAACTTAAACATTCAATTTATTTAATTTACAAATTTTTCATGGAAATTTACTTCTTCATCTTCTTTAAATTCTTCTATGAAACCTAAGAAATACTTGGTAAAATAATATCACATACTATAATTGCAATTTAATATACGTATTATTACGCTAATAGTAAATATAAAAACGAAAAACGGATAATATAATAAATAATATATTTAATTGTTGTAATATTAAAAAGAAATAGAGATTTACTCGAAAAATAGAGTATCAAGAAAGCTAAGTTTCGTGATTAAAAAAACCCAGTTGATAGTGTCATATAACGCTAACTAAAATACTGATTTTCGAATAATTGATTAAACATTGTGAGATGTTCGGCTCGTAATATATTCGAGAGTACAGATGTTGATTTTCCTCGCTCTATGGGTAAATAAATGTAATCGTGAAATATGCCTTTAAAATATTGAAAAATTTCCTTATCTACTAAATGCAATTATTTATAATAGTATTACATTTTGTCGATAATTATTATGTCAATTAATCTTATTTGATACAGTATTTTTATAGTCACGATAAAATTCAATTATTTACAAACAAAAAGCAATTAAAAGAAAAAAAAGATCTATTTTCTTTAGATTTGGACATACTTTCTTCTATAAAGTCCATTTGCTTATTTTTAATATTATTACAAATATATATTACATTAACATAAATATATTGAATAATAAAAAAAAAAAACATAGTATTGTGATAA